AACAAACTTCCCAGCTAAGCCAGGACAGACGGCGCTCAGGGCCTAATTCCTGTCCAGCTTCTGGGACACTTGGCAACCTCTGAGCCCGTCTCACATGGCGCCACAGAAACATGACCTGCCTATTAGTCTCCCTCACTCCCCCACCTGTTCTGGCGTCCATGCTCTTGCTCATGTTTCTCCCTGTCAGACATGTACTGCACGCAGACAACATCCACTGTGTGCCAGGCGTGGGGGCTAGGCCGGACACAGCGAGCAGACTGAGTGGTCATGCTTTTGTGATTCCGGTTCTGGCAGAGGAGCATTTAAGGGACAAATAGTTAGTTACAATGAAGCCCTTTGTTGTGTTAGTGCAGGTACAGAGCTCTGGGTCAAAAAAGGCCTCCGGGAAGAGGCGATATTTAAGAGTTGAACAGTCATCACCCAGCCACTGGTTGGGGGTGGGGCAGGTAGGGGAGAGTGTCCAAGCAGAGGACACAGTTCATGCAAAGTCCTGGAGACCAGAGAAGTCACAAATGCAGGGTGGTGGGCGCACAGAGAAGAAAGGAGGAGAGTGAGAGGCACAGGGTGAGAAGCCCCAGCAAGCTGCTCTACAGAGTGCATTGTATGCTGAGGGCCGGGAGAAGGCCTGAGGGGGGCATAGCAGGAGAGTGTGTGTGGGCAGATTTGCGGCTACTGGGCAGACTAGATTGGAGAGCGCCTTGCTGCTCTTCCTGAGATGGAAGAAATGACCGCAGCCTGGGCTGGCATGAGGGTGCTGGGGACAGAGTCAAAGACACTTCATCTTTTAAAAATATATAATTTTATTGATTTCAGAGAGGAATGGAGAGGGAGAGAGAGATAGAAACATCAATGATGAGAGAGAATCACAGGTCAGCTGCCTTCTGCATGCACCCCACTGGAGTTAGAGCCCGCAAACCAGGCCCTGCCTGGGAATCTAATCACAGCCTTCTGGTTCATGAGTCAACACTCAACCACTGAGCCACAGCGACCGGGCAAGTCAAAGATATTTCAGAGGTGAGGTAGTGTGAGGAGTGACTTCCCAGGGATTTATCTTGCTTGGGAGACTGGTGGATCCTGATATTTTTGGTGATGGAATTTCTGAGTCCAGTTTGGATATGATGAACTGGTGATGCTTGCAAGATGTCAAGTAGACAGTTAGATACACAGGCTCAGGAAAGAGGTCTGGGCCAGATTCTTATTTGGCACTATCAACTTAAAGATAACAATAAACGTGCTGCCTGACTGTAACTGAGCACTTACTAAGTGTGCGGCACTTTTCCAAGTTCTTCACGTGCATTAACTTATTGATTCCTCACAACAACCAAACGAGGTGCCTTCATTTCAGAGCAAGGATTTGAGCCCTAGCTGCCCAGCTCCAGATTCCAAACTCCTAAAGCCCACCATTCAGTCTTGTACCTAAACAGTAGCTTAAGCCCCAGAAATGGATGAGATCAACCTCACTGTGAGGAATACTAGAATCCAAAGCCAAGGCTGCAACCTGGTGGCTCAGGGCCTGAATCTTGCTCTTGGATAAATTTTCTCTGAAATGATTAGTATTTTAATTTTTAAAAATGAATTGCTGCCCTAGCTGGCTTGGCTCAGTGGATAGAATGTCAGCCTGTGGACTCAAGAGTCCCAGGTTTGATTCTGGTCAAGGGCATGTACCTTGGTGGCGGGCACATCCCCAGTAGGGGGTGTGCAGGACACAGCTGATTGATGTTTCTCTCTCATCAATATTTCAAACTCTCCCTCTCCCTTCCTCTCTGTAAAAAATCAATAAAATATATTTTTTAAAAATGAATTGCCATGCCGAAACCGGTTTGGCTCAGTGGATAGAGCGTTGGTCTGCGGACTGAAAGGTCCGAAGTTCAATTCCAGTCAAGGGCATATACATTGGTTGTGGACACATCCCCAGTAGGGGGTGTGCAGGAGACAGCTGGTCAATGTTTCTCTTTCATTGATGTTTCTAGCTCTATCCCTTTCCCTTCCTCTCTGTAAAAAATCAATAAAATATATATTTTTTAAAAATGAATTCTATACAAAAATTAACTCAAAATGGATCAACGACCTAAACAGAAAAGCTAAAACTATAAACTCTTAGAAGAAAACATAGAGGGAAAGTTTCATTGGATTTGGCAATCATTTCTTGGCTATGACACCAAAAGCACAAGCAACAAAAGAAAAAATAGGTAGGTAAATTAGATTTCATTGAAGTTAAAAACTTTTGTGCATCACACACTATTAACAGAGTGAAAAAAACAACCAATAGAATGGGAGAAAATATTTGTAAATCAAATATCTAATGTGATTTATGTCTAGACTGGATAAAGAACCCTTAAAACTCACTAACCCATTAATAAATAGGCAAAAGACTTGAATAGATATTTCTCCAAAGAAGATATACAAATGGCCCATAAGCAAATAAAAATATGCTCAACATCATTAATCATTAGGGAAATGTAAACCAAAATTACAATAAGATACCACTTTATACCCATTAGGATGGCTACTAGGGGAAAAAAAGTGTTGGAGAAGATGTGGAAAAATTGGAATTCTTTTGCACTGCTGTTGGGAATGTAAACGGTATAGCACTTTGGAAAACAGTATAGTATGGCAATTCCTAAAAAAACTAAACAGGATGATCATATAATCCAGCAATTCACTTCTGGCTATTTACCCAAAAGAACTGAAAACAGGAACTTGAACAGATATCTGTACACTCATGTTCATAGCAGCATTAGTCACAGTAGTCAAGGTGGAACCAACCTAAATGTCCACTGACAGATGAATGGATAAACAGAACGTGGTATTTACAAACAGTGGAAGATTATTCAGCCTTAAGAAGGGATGGAAGTCTGGCCCCTCACCTCATGTATAATCCTTGAAGAAAAAAAAAAATCCTTGAAGACAATCACAAAAGGACAAATATTATACATTCCACTTATATGAGGTACCTAGGTACTCAAATTCATAGAGACACAAAATAGAATGGCGGTTGCCAGGGTCTGGGTGAGGAGTTGGTGATAGTAAGTTAGTGTTCAATAAAGACTAAATTTCCATTTGGGAAGATAGTAAAGTTCTAGAGATTAATGGTGATGATGGTTGCACCACAATTTGAATAATGCCATAGACCTGTACACTTTAAAATGGTTTAAATGGTAAACTTTATGCAATGTATCTTTTATTTATTTATTTATGTATTTATTTTATTTTTATTTTTTTTTAAGGAAAGACTTAAGATTGGTCTCTTTATATATTTTATTGATTTTTACGGAGAGGAAGGGAGAGAGATAGAGAGCTAGAAACATAGATGAGAGAGAAACATCGACCAGCTGCCTCTTACACACCCCCTACAGGCGATGTGGCCGCAACCATGTACATGCCGCTGACCGGAATCGAACCAGGGACCTTTCAGTCTGCAGACCGACGCTCTACCACTGAGCCAAACCCGTTTTGGCTGTTATGTATCTTTTTACCACAATAAAAAATGATGAAATAAAAAGATAACCTTTACTTTTAAAGATATTTATATTTTGAAAAAATGTTACATTTTAAATTAAATTTGCACATTCTAAACAAAAATTACACTTTACAGTTCCCACTGTTTTTTTTTTTTAAATATTTTATTGATATTTTACACAGAGTAAGGGAGAGGGATAGAGCGTTAGAAACATTGATGAGAGAGAATCATTAATCAGCTGCCTCCTGCACACCTCCCACTGGGGATGTGCCTGCAACCCAGGTACATGCCCTTGATCGGAATCAAACCTGGGACCCTTCAGTCCACAGGCCAACGCTCTATCCACTGAGCCAAACCAGTTAGAGAAGTTCCCACTGTTTTAAATTTTAAACCCAAATTTTGGTTATTAAGTTTTGTAAGCTTTAAATTAGCACAAGTTATCACATAGAATGATAGTGTTGAAGTAATTTAAGCTGTTTCTTAGCCTTTGCAGTCATTGTGTTATTGTTGTTTATTCTGAAACTACTGTTTAAACTCAAGAATATGTAGTGTCATAGAGTTAGAGACACCAGAGCAAGCGGGAGTGATTCCAAACTATTAAGAAACTACTTTTTTTTCTTTTTGTTTAATCCTCACCTGAGAATATTTTTCCATTTTTAAAAAAATATATTTTATTGATTTTGTACAGAGAGGAAGGGAGAGAGATAGTTAGAAACATCGATGAGAGAGAGTCATCAATCAGCTGCCTCTTGCACACCTCCTACTGGGGATATGCCCACAACCAAGGTACATGCCCTTGACCGGAATCGAACCCTGGACCTTTCAGTCCCCAAGCCGATGCTCTATCCATCGAGCCAAACCAGTTTCGGCTATTTTTCCATTTTTAAAAAGAGAGTAGGGGAAAGAGAGAGAGAAAGAGAGATATGAGAGATTTGTTGCCTCCTGCACACCCCAGTCAAGTGCTGGGGATTGAACCTGCAACACAGGTATATGCGACCTGAGACCCTTTGGTCCATGGGCCAACTCTCTAACCACTGAGTCAAACCAACCAGGGCAAGAAATTACTTTCAAAATGAACGTGTGAAGAAGGGGCTAAGTGAGATTTCTCCTTATTAACTTCCATTATGGAACATAATGTTTATTTTTATTTATTTTAAATATATTTTTATTGATTTCAGAGAGGGAGAGAGAGAAAGAAACATCAATAATGAGAGCGAACCATCAATTGGCTGCCTCCTGCATGCCCCCCTACTAGGGATCAAGCCTGCAACCCGGGCATGTGCCCTTGACTGGAATCTAACCTGGGACCCTTCAGTCTGCAGGCTGATACTCTATCCACTGAGCTAAACCGGCCAAGGCCATAATGTTTATTTTAAAAGGTAAACAATAAATTTATGCTAATTTGAAACTTCTTTACTAAAACTCAACGGTATGTGTAGCAGCAATTTAGAACTTAGACCAATAAAATATTTTTTTCAGGGAGAAATATTTTTTGACTGACATTGTTTAAAATTGCCAATGGACGGTGATAATAAAAAGCAACCCACTTCTGGTCATTTTGTTAAAGTGCTTAAATTCTCTACAGACAATGCACCTACACTGCTCTTCCCTTGGGCCAGACCCCTGCCACCATCCTACTTTGGTACACAGTTCCCAACATATGGAATCCAATTCCACCTGTGGACCAATTACAACGGTGAACTACTAGCATAGCTGAGTGCCCGGGGCTGCCCTCTGGAGTCATTCAAGCTCAGCCCTCGATTTCAAGGACTTCCCAGGTGTTGTTTCCCACAGGAAGCCTCCCTTGACAGTCTCTACCTCCTTGAATCTGGATGAAATATTTCTCTTTTATGTCCCCGTAGAGCGATTACATTGCATTATAATCATCTCCCTTCACTTCTCCGCTGAGCGCTCTAGGGATCATCCAGTACGCGAGGTGTCGGCCTCCCAGGATAATGTCTCACTGGGTCCCGAAGTGACATGCTTTGGGAAGTGCTGGTAGTAAGCACACAGGAGCTGGGCTGCACAGGAAGTCAGGGCCCCTCCGGGAGGAGAGAAGGCCTTGCAACTATCAAAGCTCTTCTTCTAAGGCATCAGCTTAAGAAATCGATCACCCGTGTCAGTGGCCCTCATTTCCACCAGCTCACAGTCAGGGGCATTGCCCACAGCTACCAGGCGAGTAAGTCAAGCCTGGATGCGCCCTTCCTGGCCTCTCGGCAGGGCCTCCATCACCCAGGGCCGGTGCCTGCCTGGTCCCTGCCGCTCCGACCTCGCCCACCGGGCCATGTGCTCGTCTGACCACCAGGGGGCGCCGGACGCACGGTCCTGGGGACGCCGGGCCGAGCTCGGGGTGGGTGGAGTGACTGCTGGCCGGTGGCGCTGGGGAGTCCCGGAGAAGAAAGGGTGTGGGGGGCGGGGGCGGGTGTTGTAAGAGCCGCAGTGCGGGAGCGTTGGCGGCGGGGGAGGGAGGCGGAGGGAGAGCAGTTGCTGCGCCTCCGGCGCTGCCTCGTCTGGCCTGCTGGGGAAAGGGCAGCGATGGAGAAAGGGAGGGCTCCCCGCAGAGCGGGGCCGCTGCCTCCGCCTCGTCGCTCCTCCGTCTTGCCCAGGAACAGACCGGACATTCCTAAGTCTCCGGCGGAAAACCTGGAAATAGAGCCGGAGGCCGCCTCCTGCAGCCCGGCCCGTTCTACCCAGCCCAGCCCCGAGCCCCGAGCTCCCGCCTGGAGCTCCCCCTGCACTGTCCCTCCCTCCAGCCGGGGACCAGCCTGGAGCCACCGACCTTATCCAGCCACTTCTAGGTCAGGGTCATGATCTGTCAGTGTCCACATCGTTATTTGGCCACGAAAGCTGGGACTCATCCTTGACACCTTCCTTTTTCGTCCAATCTATGTCTTCACCTCCTTTCTACCTCTCGGTTTCCTTCCACCACTCACTGAACCAAGTGCCCATCATCTCTCGCCAGAACTGGTGCTCTTTTTTTTTTTTTTTTTTTTTTAAATATATTTTATTGACTCTTTAGAAAGGAAGGGAGAGGGATAGAGAGTTATTGTAGAAACAGATGAGAGAGAAACATCGATCAGCTGCCTCTTGCACACCCCCTGTTGGGGATGTGCCCGCAACCAAGGTACATGCCCTTGAACGGAATCGAACCCTGGACCTTTCAGTTTGCAGGCCCATGCTCTATCCATTGAGCCAAACTGGTTTCGGCAGTACTGGTGTTGTCTGGACTCCCTACTTCCAGGCTTTGCCCCTTCTCCTCTTAATCCTTTCTCAGGTGGTAGGTAGCCTTGATAGTATTTTCCAAGCCCGTTTTCACCCCCTTTTGACATCTCTCAATACCCTTCCAAACTCTGGGCATGGCCCACCGGGCCCTAAAAGGCCTGGTTCTTTCTGCCTTCCTGGCACCACCTTCCTTCTCTGTACGCTCCAGCTACCCTTTCTGTGCTCAGCATGAGCCTTTGCAAATGCTCCTGCTCCTTCAGGTCTCAGCTCTAGCGTTGTTTTCACCCTCCCCGACCTCCCTGAGCAGGCCAGATCCCCTTATTGCTGACTCTCCCAGCACCCCGTACTTCTCCTTTATGCATCTGTCATAGTTACCACCCCCGCCCCCCTGCTGCAGTTTTGCTTTCCACAGTTTCAGTTAGTTACCTGCGGTCAACTGTGGTCCAAAAATATGAAGTGGGAAATTCCAGAAGTAAACAACTCATGAGTTTTAAAACGCATGCCATTCTGAGTAGCATGATGAACTCTTGCCACCCTGCTTTGTCCGCATGGGGGTATGAATCCTCCCTTTGTCCAGCGTATCCACGCTGTACGTGCCGCCCGCTCATTAGTCACTTCGTAGTCTGTTAGATCGACTGTCATGGCCTCACAGTGCTTGTTGCTCGTGTTCAAGTGGCCTTTATTTTACTTCATGGCCCAAAAGCACGAGAGTAGTGATGCTGGCAATTTAGATATGTCAAAGTGAAAAGGTGAAAGTGTATGATTTAATTAAAAAAAAAAAAAATCCTATGCTGAGATCTACAGTAAGAACTAACCTGCCTGGGAATCTCTGAAGGAAAACGAAATTGGTGCTAGTTTGCTGATAAGAGACAACATTTATGATAATTATTCTATTTTATTAGTTATTGTTGTTAATCTCTTACTGCTCCTAGTTTATACTTATCATAGGTGTATGTATAGGAAAAACATAGAATATACAGAGTTCAGTATATCTGTGGTTTCAGGCATCCACTGGGGTCCTGGAATGTACCCCCTGCAGATAGGGGGACTACTGTAATTATAATCGTCCATTTATTTGTAACATTATTTAATTAATGTTTGTTTCTCCCACTAGACTGTAAATTCCATGAGGATAAGGACTACATCAATTTTTGCTCACTTGTAAATCTCCAGCACCCATGCACCTGACACACAGTAGGTGCTCGGTATTCCTTGAATAAATAAATGTTGCATGTTGCACACTTTGATGTTTCCTGAGCCCAAGCCTGTATCATCTCCTCTCTGGACTCAGCAATCACTTTTAACTGATCTCCCAGTTTACTGTCAAGTCCCTACTGGTTTCCTAGCCAATAGCCAGAATGGTCTAATAAAGACGCCAATCTGACTATGTCACCCTTCCCACCCCCTTTTTAATAGCCCTCAGTGGCTTCCCGTGACTCTTGGGATAAACTCCAAACTACTGACGCAGCCTTAAAAGGCCTTGTATGGTCTGGCTCACCTCATGCCCAGCTCCAACTCCCCGATGAACCTTTCTTAATTCCAGGAATATTGAGAGCTGTTTTCCAAGGCGCCGAGGAGTCAATGGTGAGTGACAGCATGCTCCTTCAGGTCTTACAGCCTCCAGATCTGAACACAACTCCTCTCCATGCAGGACCTTTGCACATGCTTTCCCCTCGTCCGCAAAGTGCTTCTCTCTCCTTTTTGTCCTGACTTTGTCCCAGCAAACTATCAGATATCCGGTCAAACACCATCTATCCAGGGGTAGCTGATTTGACCCCCAACGTAGTTAGTTCCCCAAGTTAAGATGCTTTTACTGCTCCTCTTAGTCCACCTCATAGCCCTGACCACATTTTTATTTTTACATGTTGGTGTGGTGATGGCCATCTTCCCCACCAGGGAGCTTCTGTCTGGTTTTTACTTCCCATCACATCTTAGCTGAAACTTAGCTGGTCCTCCACAATTTATTGAACGAATTGATGATTGATTCCCTTGCAGAGTATTCAGAGGGTGTCGCCTTCAGGAACCTGTTGGTGCCTCAGCCTCATTGGAATATAAGCTGGGGGCTGGGAGGGGTGAGTAAAGGAGCACGCACCGAGGAGAGGCTCCTAGAAGCTGTTCTGTTAGTCCTTTCCCTGCCCCTCCTCATCCCCAACACCTGTGACTTGGCCCCACTTTCCTCTCCTCCCCCACCCATCTCTGCCTTGTTCTTGAAGCCACACTTACCCCTCCAGGGCTTCCTACATACTGAGCCCTCTACCTGCAACTCTCCTCCCTGCTCTTTCACATGGCTGGTTCCTCCACATCCTGCAGGTCAAGTTTAATGCTGCATCTGTAGAGGACACCTTCATTGTAGCTCCCAATGGAAGCACATTTATATACTTATTGTCTGTGTCCCTAGATGCATTAGCTTTTGACCACACATCACAGAAAATCCAACTCCATTGGCTTAAAAAAGGAAGCTGTGTAGGGGTAGGGCTGCTTTGGAGGTTGGTTAACTCAATGATGTCCTCTTGGATATAGGTTCTTCCCCTCTTGCTGCTGGCTGGTTGGTTAGCAGGTTGGATAGCAGGATGGATGGAGCAATTCCAGGCATCATAGTCCGACCTCATATCAGACAAGCAGGGTTTTCCCATCATTATGCGTCTTAGTTGTCTCTTGCTGTGTAAGAAATTATCACAAAACTTATCAGTTTATAACAACCTTTATTATCTGTTTCTGAGGGTTAGAAACCCAGGAGTGGTTTAGCTGGCTGGTTCTGGCAGAGGGTCTCTCAGGAGGTTATTGATGAGCTGTGGGCCAGGGCCGAAGTCATCTGAAGGATTAACTGGGGCTGGAGAACCCACTTCCAAGCTTATTCACTTGGCCATTGGCAGGGGCTTCGGTCCCTTGATCGGGTTTCTCCATCAGCTGCCTATATGCACCAACTGCCTTCCTCCAGAGGGAGTGATCCAAGAGCGACAGCCACCAAGACAGAAGCTGTGGTGTCTTTAGTGACTGAATGTTGGATGGGACACGCCATCACTTCTGTTGTATTCTGTCGGTCACTCAGCCCAACACTGGTACAGCATGGAAGGGACTACACAGGGTGCGAACACTAGGAGGTAGGGACACTGAAGGGTCGACCGAGGCTGACTACCATGGCATCTTTTTTAAAAGTGAGGAAGGCCTCACCGGTTTAGCCCAGTGGATAGGGCACCAGCCCGCTGACCAAAGGGTCCAGGGTTCAATTCCGTACCCTAGGCCCTGGTCAGGGCATGTGCAGGAGGCAACCAATCAGTGTTTCTCTCACATCGATATTTCTGTCTTTCCCACTCTCTTCCATTCTCCCTAAAAATCAATGGGAAAATATCTTTGGGTGAGAATTTAAAAATAATAATAAAATAAATAAATAAATAAATAAATAAATGCCTCTCCTAGAAGCCCAGAAGGCTTTTCTTTCTTTTTCCTTTTTTGGAAGGCTTTTCTGTATAGGTCTGTGGCTGGAATTGTGTCACAGGCCCATACCTAAACCATCACACAGGAGGGGGTGGGACCACCAGTTCTGGCTCATTGCAATCAGGATTCACCCTGGGGCTAGGTCCATCTCCCCTGGAGCACAGAGTGGGATCCAGGAGGAAGATGGCCATCGGAACAAAGTCAGGATTCTGTTCGGAATAAGGAAGCGGGGAGGGGAATGGAGGTCGAGTTGGCAACGCAGTGTCCACGACGCTCAGCTGCTCCCTGAGACGAGAGCTACACCTCTTCCACGGCTGTACCCCCAGCACGCGACCCACTGCCTGGCACATGTACAGATATGTATGTACTCTCCCTAAAAACCACCGCGGGGCAGTGTGAGATGAATAAATGAGTGAATTCATGACTAAACTGGAGGACCACTAGGACTGCTGTGAGGCAGGAGCAGACACCCCCAGGCCCTGGCTCCTTAAGTTCTTCTTAGGAGACATCCCCAGGTCACCTGCTACCACCCCCACCGCCAGCCCCAAGGAGAGACAGGACTGGCAGGGTTATTCTCACTTTATTTCTGGAGAAGTTTGATCAGACGCAATAACACTGATTCCAGGCGAGGGCAGGGGCATGGGGACCCCTAAAGCAACCAGCATCCTGTGGCCCAAGGTGCTCCCCATCCCCAGACCTGGGCTCCCCCTCAGTTACAGTTAAATAGAGAGGAAGATCTCCCCAGGGAGTCTTGGGAGGGTCTGCCTCCTGCACCCGCCCCCTCCAGGCAGAGGAGTCTGAGCACAAGCTATTTACAGTATTCACATCCACTGTACCCCACCAAACCAAGGCAAATACTACAGGCGGCCCTTCCCCAAGGAAGGAGGCCGGAGAGGCTGTGAGTGTATGTGTGTGTGGGAGGTTTCCGCGCGTGTGAGCACACAAATGCACTGCGGGGCAGGGCCTGGCTCCGGCCAGAGACAACAGTCTATAAGGTGCTGATTAAAAATAACAGAGGACCCACCCCCAGGGGCCCAGGCCACTTCCGGCTTTGTTCTGTTTCTTTCTTTCCGACATCCCGGTAGACGATGCAGAGGAGCCCTCATAGCTGTGCCTGGATCCAAGGCAACCCCTTAAAGGACTTCTGGGGGGAAAGCGGGAGGGGAGACAGTCAGGCAAGCTATGCCTCCAAGCCAGGCCAGCCGGGGTGGGGCGGGGGGGGGGGGGGGATGTGGGTGTGAGAAGGCCTGGGCGGGGCTGCAACGGAGGGCAGGGCTGGGGAGCTCTGGGAAGGCTCCCGGGAGGGAAGGCTGTGGGCCTGGGGGGCAGGGGTCCCTACCTGTGACCTGTGGGGGCTGCACCACAGCTTTCTTGAGGAAGGCTTCTGCCTCTGCGAAAGGCAGGAGCGCCTCTGCCGTTCGGCCCAGGCTCTTTTCGCCAGAGGGTCCCTTGGGGGAGGAGAAGCCATTCTCCTGGTGTGCCGGGGGAGGCTGCAGGCCGTTCACCAGGGACTCCTTGTTAGGCAGGCTGTGGATGCAGGGACACACTCAGGCAACTCACATCCCAGCACAGCCCAGGCACCCCCCCAGCTCCAGCCTGCCCCTGACTGCCTGCCCAGGACCCCGGGGTGGGGAGCTGGTACCTCCACTGAGGCTCCTGGGCGGCCAGCTCCTCTTTCTGCACAGCCTCCTTATGCAGCTCTGAGGACCGGGAGTCTTCGGCTCTGACAGTGTCTATCACAGGGAAGGAAAGGCCGTCAGCTGCTGGCTGGTGAGAGGAGGAGGTATGATGATGGGGTGGGGAAAGGGACAGAGGGGGACAGGGCCTTTACCTGGGCTACCATTGTTGGTGTTTGCCTCCTTTCTTTCCAGCTTTTGCTGTGAAGAGGAAGAGCCATCAGACTCAGGTGTATCTGATCCCGCCTGACTGAGGTGCTGAATTCTCCCCTCCCCCACCCAAGACCCTGAGCAGCCTGCCTCAGCCTCCTTCCTCCACCCTGAATGCTCTTCCCCAGCCTCCTCCTCACCGACCCCCACTCCCAACACTGCCCTTTGGGGAGCCCTGACCTTGGCTTCAGCAGCTTCTGACTTCCGAGTCCTCTTCATGATCTCCTCCAGACGCTGTTTGGAAGCCCCACATCGGTTAGGCCCTAGAGCCGCCCCAATCCTAAACCTCCCGCCATCCAGCCCCAGGCCTGGGGTCTCAGGGCCCTTCCAGTTCATACCAGTCCTTTACACGCCAGGACCCAGAGCTCACCCCAATACCCTCGTGTCCTACCTTTTACAAGTCCAAGGCAGCTCCCACTTCCCTAACCCCACTAATACCATTAACCCAAACAGGGACTGGGCCCGAAAGGCTCCGCCCCGTGGAGCCCCGCCCACCGGGGCCATGGCCCCGCCTCCAATACCTTTTTGCGCTCCTGCCGCTCCTGCTCCTCGCGCTGGAAGTGCTTTTCCCGCTCCAGACGCTGCCGTTCTGCCTCCTCCCGGGACCGGGCTTCGGCCTCCTCTTTCTGCCAAAGACTGCAGTGAGCTTTCAGCAGCTGGACCCCAGCCTTCCTCCCAGGCCAGGCCTTGGCCCTCCAGCAGGAGGCGCCCACGCCCAGCCCCGCCCCGTCCGTCTGTCCGTCTGTCCAGGCACCTGCTTCTGCAGCCGCTCCTGCTCCTCCAGCTCGGCCTGCGCCTTCTCCCGGGCCTCCTGCTCTTCCCGTCGCCGGGCCTCGGCCTCCCTCTCAGCCCGGGCCTCGGCCTCCCGAGCCAGCTGCTCCTCTCGCATTCGCCTGGGGGAGAAGGAAATTCGTGCTGGGTCCGTGCTTCCTTAGCAGCCTCCATGCCTCCATAGGGGCCCCCTCCACCCGCCTCCGTCCCGCGGTGCACGCACTTGTCCCTTTCTGCCTGCAGCCGGCGCTCCTGCTCCTCGCGCTCCCGCTGCTCCCGGGCCTGGCGCCGCTTCTCGGCCAGGAGCCGAGTAGCCTCTTCGCGGTCTGTAGTGCCGGCCATGGGTTTGCTGGGAGTCACTGGGGGAGCAGGGGCTGGGGGGGCCGGGGCTGGGGGTGAGGTCAGGACAGCAGTATCTGGAGTGGAAACAAGGCCCAGGAGTCAGCTCAGGCACCTCCAGCACCCCTGCATGCCTGCTTCCTGGACCTTAGGGTGGCCCATCCACTCAACTTCTGCCATCAACTTAGACATGAGCTCCTTTTCCCTGCCTGTGCCCCACTGAAGGTCCTATCTTCCAAATCCCAGTCCACAGTCACCTCTGGGCCCACACAAGGCAGGCTGTCTCCCCTTGCCCTGCCCACCTTTCCGCCTCCTCTCTTCATGCCCACCTGCAGGGATCTCGGCTGTGGGCTGTTCCTTCTGGGGCGGGGCTGGGGTGGGTGAGGGCACAGGTGAGGGCGCCGGTGAGGCCAGGGCTGCCGGCTCCTTCTCTTCACTGGTCTTGCCCTTGTTCTGGTTCTTGTCCTCGGGCCCTGCAGCGCTGGGGCTCTCCTTTGCCTCATCCTTCCTCCGAACCCGGCCCTTGGGTGATGCAGTGGTGCCTCGAGGGGATGGTGGTTTTGGGGGTAGAGCGTGGTTGGGCCCTGGGCTGGGGCAGGGAGAGGCAGGCCTGTGCCAGGATGTGGACGGAGAGGATGGCCGGGCCTTGGATTTGGGACTGAGAAAAAAAAAAAGAGAAAAAAAAAGGAAAATGTTAAGCCTGGTGGGCACAGAGTCCACACGTACATATACCCTCCCTGGGGTGTCATTCCTCAGGGAACTGTCCCTTCCAGGCTAGGCCAGCCCCCCACCTTAGATGCTCTCACATGACCATAGTATTTCCTTCGAGAGTGTGTTTTCTTCGAGAGTATACATCCCCAATTACACATTCTTACATCAATCTGTAAGATTGCAGCATTCAGCACACCCCCTACTGGAGATCAAGCCCCCTACTGGGGCATGTGCCTGACTGGGAATTGAATGGGGGTGCATGGGACGTGCATGGGATGAGCTCATGCACTGTTCCCTGAACCGCATCAGCGAGGACTACACATTCATTTGATTAATGTCTGTTTCCCCAGTTGTCAGCAAGATTAATCAGAGCAAGAATGAGGCGCGGTTTGGCTCACCAAAGTGCCCTTAGCACCCAGAACAGTACCTGGCAGGTTCCTTCGTTCGCTCAGCAGGTACTGGTTGAGAGCTTACCAGGTGCCGGGCCCTGTTCTAGGTGCTAAGGTACTTTGGTGATCAGAACGCTTGAAAGGCGGTGCCCACCTGAGCTCAGAGGCCGGGCCAGCAGGCAGGCGAGGGCGGGGAGACGCAGGCAGCGACTGGCGCTTCTTGCTGCGCTCCCGGGCCAGGGCACTCTTCTCCTTCTCATTTTCCCGCTCCTTGTCCTTCTTCTCCTTTTTCTGCACCTGGTGAGGAAGGGCACGGAGAGGGGGAGGCAGGGAACAGAGGTCAGTGGTGCCCACACTCCCGAGCTCGGCTCCCTGTGCCACCGGCACGGCTACTCACCGGGGAGGACGGGGGCCCGCGGCGGGCGGGGGCGGGGCTGCCCAGGGAGCTGGGCTTGCGGCGCTCCCCGCGCTCCCCGGAGGAGGGGGTGCAGCGGTGCGCGCTGCTGCGGGGGGCGCTGCACGGTGGCATCAGGGGACTGGCAGAGGCCGAGCGCGGGCACACCGGCACGGCTGCAGAAGGATGAGTGCGGTTGGGATGCGGCCCACACGTGAGGCTGGCCACTGCCTGGCCCCTCGTGGGGGCTCTCCCAGGGCCGCTGCCCCTACCCTGGTCCCGGCCATTGCGGGGCAGTGTGACTGCACTGCGGCTCCGTGCCAGGAAGGAGAGGGTGGGCGTCATGAGACGGTCCACGATGCTGCTCTCCCAGGGGCTCAGCTGCAGGCTTCGATCTGGGGGGAGAATGCCAGGGGGGGCTGGTTACCGCAGGGGAGCTGCAGGGCACAGGCAAAAGCCATCCCGTGCCAAGCCCAAGGAGTCTCCCCAGGAGGGCTCTGTCCTGATCACCCCTGGCCACACTCCTTGCCCTCGAGTCTGACCCCCACTGCAGACCACGGCAACAAGACACTTTCCAGGGCAAAGTGCTGTACAGCACGAGGGTCTGCCACCGCCACTCCCACAGACGCAAGGGCCCTGCGCTGCGAGGACAGCGAGAAGCCACCAGTATGGGTCCCACCGTGGCGCCCTTTCCCTCCTGCCATCAGAGGGCAGGGGAGGCATGACCCCAAGGATTTGGGACAGTAAAGGGTCCTGTGCTCCTCTGACTCGGGAGAGTCCTAACTGACAGGGTGAGGCTGCCAGGAGGTCTGGCTGCCCTGGGCCACCCTCCTCTGTCCCCCCAGCTGCTGAGATATTTTTAAGTCTCAGTCAGGTGGGCTTGGTACAACAGCTGATTTGGTTGCCAGGCAACAGAGCAACCAAATAAAAGCTGGAGAAACTTATAAATAGCTCCTCCCATGGCCCTTCACATGTGAGCAGCAGGGCAGTGAGAAGCAGGCGCCGTGCCACCCTGGTGGGCCACAGCTCCGGAGCCGGCCACGGCCATGGCTGGGGTTCTACGGCAGAGAGGGCAGGGTTGCATGGACCCTCTAGGGTGGAGCCAGAAAAAGGGGGCCCCTCCACACATAGCACCCAGGCCAGTCTGGTACCCGGGGGCAAGGCCACCTGCCTAAGGCTGGCCTAGGCCAGCTGGCTGTGGCTGGAGATGAGGCTGCCTGCCCGTTCCCACCCCCACTCCCACCCCCACCTGCTGTCGGGGCCCTGCCAGGCTCTCTGCCCTTTGTCTCTGTCCTCCCTGCAGGGCACATCTCTGTCCTCAGGGTCCAGACCCAAATGCCGGCTCCCCCGAGGGGCACAGACCCCAGGTGTGGCGGAGTGGGGATGGAGACCTAGAGTGTGTGAGGACTCCGGGGACCTGGGCTCTGGCTGGGCTCTGGAGGCTTGTTGGGAGCTACAAGGGACTCTGGAGGGAGCAGGGCTGGGCCCTCTCTTACTTCTACTGGGGGAGTTCCAGAGCGTGGCAGAGGACTTTGAGAGCCGCTTGTTGATTATAGAGTCCACGTGTTTGGGCAGGTTTACTGCCGACACAGAGCACCTGCTCCCACCTAGAGGGGAAAAGACACGGCATTAGGGCCGGGCCACACGGGAGCCGGGCACACTGGGCCGTCCATGCAGGATGCTCCGCGGGCAGGTGGGGAGGGAGGAGTGGGCAGGCTGGGAAGGGGAGGAGAAGGCAGACTTGGCTCTGGGAGGAGAGGTGGGTAGGTGATCAGGGACAACCTGCATTGGGGGAGCCGACGGAGATGGAACAGAAGGAGGAGATGGAGTCAAACTAGAGAAACTACAGATTTCCTGGCCCAGAAGCCATTCCCCAGGGCTGGGCGCTGCGAGCCCCCCAACAGCCCCCCAGCGCTGCGCTTGCTGACACTGCCCAGCCAAGGCGCTCTGGCCACACACCCACACGCTGGGACGATGCAGTGCCGCTCCTACACAGAGGAACCCACAGTCACAGTCGTTTGCACAAATCCACATATTCATACGGACACAAGAGACATGCGGGCACAGGCATATAGAGGGATAGGCATTTTTGCATGCACACGTGTGTGCAGACATGCACAGTTATAGAAACACAAACACCGAGAGAGAACATGTCAGACCCAGATGCACACAGGCACGAACACATCGAAGCAGCTTAATGATGGCATTTGGAGCGGCCACTTTGTTGGAATGCTTACCATGTACCGAGCACTGTGCTGGACACCACACACATGTTACCTCACTTGATTCTCCCAAACATCTACCTACAACCTCGGAGGCAAGCAGTAGTGTTATCCCCATTTTACAGATGAAGGAAGTGAGACCTCGAGAAGTTAGAGGTCACACCACAAGTGCCAGGGCTTGGAGTCCTCACTGAGGCCCAGAAGGCCACGAACACACCAAGGCAAACATGTTAAGACACACAATGCCCAGATCCAGGAGCACATACACCAAAAGATACACAGCTGGGAACACTGAACCTTGCCATTACATAAAGATATCCAAACATGCCAGCAAAGAACCAGACCAAAATCCATGATGGCCCTACGTGAAGAAAACTCAGAGACAAAAATCTACCCAAGACAGGTACATAAGGGGTCGGGGCGTTGGGGAGTGTGACATTTTAAAAAAATATTCCATGTCTACAGGGCACTAGAGTCCTCTTTTACATATCACCAACCAATAATAATTGTCAGGAGCAGAGAAGGCTAAACCTAAAATGACAGGTTTGACGAGCAAACCAAATGAAGAGAATCCATCTCTGAATGGATAATGGATGTCCAGGAGAAGGGACAATTTGGTCCATAGACCATTCCAGAAGCCACAAGTCACACAAAGCAAGGCCTACCTGCTGCAGGGAGCTCCCTGCAGTCCTTGCACTGCAGCTTGCTCCCTTCCCCCACCCACCCACCCACCTGCCCGCCCGCCCACCAGCCCCTCCAGCCCACTCACTGGTCTTACGTCCTGGGGAGCCATGGTGCAGGGCGCCTGCCCAGGACCAGCGCTGCTGCCGGATCTCAGCCCACGTTTTCTTCACGGACCGCTGGATGGCTGCTTCATAGCGCTCCTGGCGGGGAGGGCGAGAGAAGGGAAGTCTGGGTTCAAAATCCTTCATCGCACCGGGGAGAAAGAGCCCTCTCTCCCCTGGGACAAGCCCTTCCCCAGAAGTTTTCTCTGACTCACTGCAGGTAACCAAGGTTACCGAATCCTTGCTATGATTAAGGACCATCGGCAGCAGATCCCTTGTTCTTGGGGAGCTTTTCACTGTTCTTGAGTCATTTCCTGAGTGTATGAGCTGTTTCTCCGAGCACAGGGTGGGACTCTCCCTGCCTGGGGCTCCCAGGCGGGGTCACGTCCCCTTGGCACTGCGGGTCCTGACCTTGAGGCAATGTTTCCCTTTCAGCCTGAGGCCGATGGGCAGAGCCAGGCCACACTTTCCTTTCCTCACTGATGCTCAGATCAAGGCTCTCCTCACTCGTGGAGCTCAGCACACTCATCCAGATTCATCTCTACATGCAAGCACACATACACACACACACACGCACGCGCACACACACAAATACTGTCTGACAGCACACAGTTACAGGTGCCCACCTTGACAAGTACTGACCCGACCATGCCTGCTGTTGCTCAGATGCTCAGATATCGAGCCCACAGAGACCCAATGACAGGTGTGCACACAGATATAACCATGTAGACAGAGGTGACTCAGAGGCGCAAACACCGATGTGTACACACAGAGCCCGTGCACAGATGTGTGCGCACATGGGCATGCAGATCCAGGCACAGAAGTCCACGTAAACGCACCTTGTTTTTCTCCAGCTTCTGCCGCTGCCGCTCCTCCAGGGCTGCCCGGCGCTGCTCGGCTTTGAGCCGCTGCTCCTCCAGCCGCCGCCGGCGCTCCTGCAGCTGCTTCTCCCGCAGGGCCTTGGCCTTCTCCTCCTTTTCCAGCCACACTGCCTTCTTGGCCGCTGTGGGAGAGGGGCCCGAGGGGCGTGAGGGATTCTGCAGCAGGACCTTCCTGGGTGGGTCTTGCTCCCGCCTGCTTTTGGGGAGGTGCCTCTGCGCTCAGACTCCCCCTCAAATGAAAGGGTTTCTGTTGGCGGGCTCAGGCCTCGGAATGGGAGGCCTGGTTCTCCCCCACTGGCCTCACAGTCACTTGAGAACAACTGAGTTCTTTAGTGTCAGACCCATCTGACTTTGGGGCCCGTTGGGCTGATTTCCGTGGGCTGTGATTGAAAGCATGAGCCTCTCGTCTGAATCTTGGGCACTCCATGAGCTATATGACTTCATCTCCCTGAGCCTCAGTTTCCTCGTCCTCAAAATGGGTTGAGGACACCAGCTGGGATCATCCAGGTACTGCTCTCAGCACAGTCCACATAATTAAGTATCCACAGTGTTATGTTAACAGGGCGTTAATGATGATGGTGATGATGATGAGGAAGATGATGTTCCCTAAACACTCACCCAGGTACTTGGCCCGCTCTTCTCGCCGCTCCTTTGCCAGTTTGTGTCTCTCTCCTGCCTTCTTCGCATCTTAGTAGGGGGACAAGAATAGATTTAGATCAAGTGGCTCTTCAAAGGGTAGTCAGCCTCGGGGACCCTCCCCACAGGATCTCACCCCATCCCTTTCCCCATCTCCTCCAGGGTGTCAGTAGGGCTGGAACCCTGAGCTAAGGGGTCTGGGCCAGGACTAAGGACATCACACCCACCTTGCTTGGCAGAGGGGCTGTCAGAGGCTGGCCCTGCCGTCGGGGACGGCTGGCTGCTCCTTCGAGGAGGCCTGGAATCCCGTGGGCCTGTGGCCGGTGGGGTGGGTCCCCTGGTCTTGGCCTCTGAGAAAGGGGACTCTTCCTTCTGGGGGGCTGGTCTAGGCCCGACCTGCCCTGGGGGGCTCTCTGGTTCCAGTGGGAGCTGCTTAGAGCCAGTGGCATTCTTCATGGCGGGAGGGGTGTCCGGGGGAGTGTCGGGCACCAGGGCTGACGTCGGTGGCGGTGGTGGCGGCGGAGAGGGGTCACCTTCTGGAGAAGGTCTTGGCTCTGGGGGCGTCCTGGCTGCCATAGCTGGAACACCAACACAAGAGAGGAGAGTCAGACAGCACATCTGCACCATCAATTCCATTCGAAGCTCTTTCCTTGCCCAACCGACTTGTTCATTCATTCACCCAACACGTTCATTGAGTTCCTTCCATGTACCAGGCCCTGTTCCAGGCTCTAATGATATAATGGTGAGAAAACAGCCACGGTCCCGCCCTCCAGCAGGGCAGACAGAGAGCCAGGCAGTTACAGTAGAGAATGAGGACTCTGTCGGGGGGAACATAGCGGAGATGGTTAACCTACATTTGGGGGTTTCTGGAAGAAGTAACAATGAGGCTGAGCTCTGAAGGATGAGCTGGAGTTGGCAGAATCAGGAGGAGAGGGTTCTGGCAGAAGGAGCGTTTGCCAAGGGCAGAAGGGAGCAGGCTGTGCTGGAAAAACTGAGGAGCCTGCCCAGGTGGCTCAGTTGGTTTGAGTGTCGCCCCGATACACCAAGGTTGCGGGTTTGATCCCCAGCCAGGGCGCATACGAGAATCAACCCAATTAATACGTAGGTAAGTGGAACAACACAGCGATGTTTCTCTTTCTTTCCCTTCCCCTTCTTCACTCTCTAAAATAAAAATTTTAAAATACCACAAACAACAAAAAAACCACCTGAGAGGTTTGTAGCACTTTTTGACGCGCCAAAGGTCATGACTGGTTTCCACGTCTGCCTCCCTCACCTTTCTGCTTTACCTCAGGGTCACGGCGCCCAGCCCTGGTCTGGTTCTCAGAGGGTGCCAGTGCTGGGCACATGGGACTGGAGAAGAAGAGGGACACAGCATGGGCACAAGTAGGATCCCCAACTGGATGGGCAACCAGCTATGTCCACTTTGTAACCTTCTCTTCTTTCCCAACCACCCTCAGATTTCTTCTTTTAAGACATCAGTGTCTTAGGGACTCTGTAGAAGATACCGAAGAGCCACGGCAGGAGGCCACATGCCTTGGTATGTATGCACCTGTGTGTGCACACATGTGAGCACATGCACACCATGGGGCAGCTGAGGGCCCAATTCTAATGTCACTATCCCAGACAGGACAGGAGGGCCCACTGCCCTGGCAGGTAACCTTGGGCAAGTGAATCAGTTCCTCTAAGCCTCAGCTTTCCTATCTGTAAAATGGGGCAATGATCCCAAGCCGTCAGGGAAGTGCCAGGAAACAGAACTTTCCTCCCTTTCCCTGTGGGTCTATACAAAGCTCCCGAAGAGAAGCCTCCACGTGTGGAGCCCTAGTGCCACCTGCTGTGACTCTGGGCCCTGAAGAGACCAGTGGGGGGCACAGCCACCAACCTGGGTTTGGGCAGTAGGGCCATGCGACGGTGAACCTAGGGAAGCATTGCTTGCTCCGATTGGGTGCCTTCTCTATACTGGGTCCTCTCTTCTGGGAACTCTGGCCCTTTGAGGAGGTGGCAGACTCCCCATCCTTGTGGGTGGCAATGTACGTGCAGGGACCCCAAGGTACCGCCTTTGGGATGGGGTGCCTTTTTTTTTTTTTAATATATATATATTTTTATTGATTTTTTATAGAGAGGAAGGGAGAGGGATAGAGAGCTAGAAACATCGATGAGAGAGAAACATCTATCAGATGCCTCCTGCACACCCCCCACTGGGGATGTGCCCGCAACCAAAGTACATGCCCCTGATCAGAATTGAACCTGGGACCTTTCAGTCCGCAGGCCAAAGCTCTATCCACTGAGCCAAACCGGCTCTGGCAAGGGGTGCCTTTTTTAGAGGGGACGGATGTCCAGTGGCTGAGTATGGGCTGTAGCGGCAGACTCTGTGAATGTGAATGTCTGGCTTTCCCATCTGTATGACCTTGGGCTATCACAGACCCTCTCTGTGCCACAGCTCCTCCTCTACAAAATGCAGGCAGAGCCCACCTCACAGGACCGTGAGGAGTGTTAGCGATAAGAACAACCACTAACGCTTATTCATTTCCCAAGAGCTTCCTAAAGTGAAAGCACTTTACACATATTAGTTTAGTCCTCACTGAAAATACTTATGAAGGAGACATTATAAATATCTCTCTTGTACAGATGAGGCAAGTAAAGCAAAGAGACACTGAGTAAAGTGATTTGAGGTCACTCAGCTGGTAAGCGATGGAGGCTGGACTTGAACCCAGCCTCTGTGACCAGAATCCATGCTCTTACTCATTTCACCAGCCTGCCTCTGTTTGAGCAGTATGAGGTCATACGTGTTACACAATGGAATTATGTAAGGCTCATACTATTTTCCTCTCATTCCTCCCCTTCTAGCTTCCTGGGCTCCAGGCGAGAGCCTCAGCTGCCGCCTGTCTCCCCAAGAGCCCTGAGACTCCAGGCCAGTCCAGCCGGCACCCCCCGTGCCAGCTCCCGGCCGCCTGGTCATGGCTGTTCTATT